GCTGTAGCCAGGCCTGAATCCAGACTGAAAGGCGTCCAGAAAATCCGCTTCATCCAAGGACCGTCGGAGTTGGGAGGCTACCACTTTCTCAACAACCTTTCTAATGAAGGGAAGGTTGGAGACTGGACGGTAGTTGTTCCAACTAGCTGGGTCCAACTAGCTGGGTCCTGTGTTCTATTGCGGCAAATTAATTTCATTAGACAGCCTTATTAGCAGGAAGAATGGAAGAAACATCTCTCTCATATTCAGGGAGACCAGGGGAAAAAAATACAGCTAGTCCTCAACTTATGACCGTTCACTTAACAACCATTTAAAGTTATGACAGACCCCCCAAAAAGTTATAGTGGCTGGAGAATTCTGGGAATTGAAGTCCACGAATCTTCAAGTTGCCAAGATTGAGAAGCACTGGTATATAAGGCATACACAGGTTTGTTGGTTTCTATTCTTTGGGCGGTATACAATGAGGTAAATTTTAAGGTTGATACATTACTATCATAATTTTATGAGATTTAAAACCAAGTAAAAGACCCACCAAAAATGTGGACACCAAGTTCTTAACTATCCTACTGGCTAGATACTTGCAAAAGATCTTACCAGATATAATTCATCCTTCCCAGTTGGGCTTTATCAAACATTTTCAAGCATCAGATGATTTGCATTTATTAAGTGATATACTGCATATAGCCGAGGATAAAACAGATTCTGCTACATTAGTATCTTTAGATGCAGAAAAAAACCTTTGATTTTTTTTTTGAAGTAAGTGATGATTAGATATGGCTTTCCATGGGAATTTGTCCAGTGATTGAGAGTTATTATCTGCAACCTTGCACCAGTTATAACAAACTGAATGGCTTCAGTCACTTTTCAGCCACAATATCCTTTTTTGAACTAGGACCTTCTTCCAGTATTACAAGTACAGTATTTATGTAGCTTTAGCTGTTTGTATATTACACTTGCTGCTTGAAATTCAGCACTTTTAGGAGCTCAGCGCCTTTAGTCTTCCTATGTAGGTTCTTATCTTGGTATCTTCTCTTGTGAAAGTTTCCTGATTGGTCAAAATTCTTTTTGAAACAACATACAACCCAATCGAAAGTCGTATCATAACATTCTCAAGTTTTGGAAACAATT